GTCGGCCACTGCACTCCAGCCTGGGCGCAGAGCGAGACTCCGTCTCAAAAAAAAAAAAAAAAAGGGTTATCACTCTTGCCTAGGCTAGAGTGCAATGGTACAATTTCAGTTCACGCAAACTCCGCCGCCAGGATTCAAGCGATTCTCCGCCTTAGACTCCAGAGTAGCTGAGATTATAGGCATGCACACACATCAGGCTAGTTTTTTTTTTGTTTTTTTTTTTTTTTGAGACAGGGTCTCGCTCTGTCACCCAGACTTGAGTACAAAGGTATGATATCGGCTCATTGCAACCTCTGCCTCCTGGGTTCAAGAGATTCTCTGGCCTCACCCTCCCAAGTAGCTGGTACTACAGGCATGTGCCACCACACCTGGCTAATGTTGGTATTTTTACAAATCCTTTGAACCTGGGAGGCGGAGCTTGCAGTGAGCCAAAATCGTGTCACTGCACTCCAGCCTGGGTGACAGAGCAAGACTCCGTCTCAAAATAAATAAATTAAAAAAAAAAAAAAAAGCAAGCAACTTCATTTGGAGAGACAGCAAACCAAGAAGATGGCAGACTAGTGTCCTAAAGAACCATCTCAAGTTAGTATAAGTTTTAGGTTTCTTTTTATGCTAGAGAAGGGTGTTGAGGTTAGGTGACCAATGACTGTAGACATCTGGATGCCAGCAAGAGTCCAGAAGAAAACTTCTTTGACTACGTAGGTCAGGTCACAATATTCTTGTAAATCTCTAGTATAACATTGTTACTTGTGTGTACAGTTTCCTGATCTCCTGGTGGCGTGGTTAGTTTTGGGAAAGGGACTGTTATTTTTTTAAAGTTGAGCTATAAACTAAATTCCTCCTATAATTAACTGGTCTACACACAAAGCTAAGCAGAAGCTTTTAACCTAAAGGATGTTACTGCAGGGCGTCAGAGGCAAAATGGAGTCAGTCATGCTAAGCCTCCCACCACTGTGACACACACACCCCATCAATTTAGCAGCCAACAGTAGAGTCATTGTTCTTCTGTAGTTCCAACCAAAGTCCCAAGGCTGGCTCCTCTGGCTTCTGTCACATGCTCCACCTTTGCTGGCGGCTGCAGTCAGCCCCACCTAAACCATGTGGACTGAAAATGGCAGAAGGGTGGGTCTCCAAAGAGTATCAAGTTGTTGCTACTAGAAGAGGGGAACAGACACTGATGGGGTGGGGGAAGCTGCAGATTCTGGGAGAGACTCCAGGTTCAGGGAAAAGTCACCATGCAAACCAGATTTGTCCTGTTTCAAAGGCCAGGTTGAGACTCTGGCATCAACCAAAGAGGAGGCATGGTCCCCCTGAGATCACCAGCAAATAGGGGGAGCAGTCTTGGCAATATTGCCCCAATAGGCCCGGTAATGGAGCACATCTGTGTCATTCGTTCATTTAACAAATATTAACTGTCTGCTATGAGTCAGGTGCTGGTCAAGGAGCAGAGACAAGACAGTGAACAAGACGGTGCCTCTGGTGCCTCTGGAGCTAGCTGACATTCTACTTGGGGAAATTGACAATAACGAAAAGAAATAAGTGAAATATGTAGTGGTCACAGGGTGGTAAGTGATGAGGAGAAAAATAAAGTGAGCAAGAGGAGGGGGGCACAACTGAAACAATGTGGTTGAAGAAGGCATCAGGGAGTCAGTAGAATGGAGCCACTATGTTAAAATTTCGCCATGAGAGCAGATTGTAGTGAGGAAACAGGCCATGGGGACTCAGAATAGTGCTGTCCAATAGAAATTGAATGTGAGGCCGGGCATGGTGGCTCATGCCTGTAATCCCAACACTTTGGGAGGCCAAGGCAGGTGGATCACTTGAGGTCAGGAGTTCAAGACCAGCCTGGTCAACATGAAGAAACCCCGTCTCTATTAAAGATACAAAAATTAGCCGGGCATGGTGGCAGGTGCCTGTAATCCCACCTACTCGGGAGGCTGAGGCAGGAGAATCACTTGAACCCAGGAGGCGGAAGTTGTAGTGAGCCAAGACCACGCCACTACACTCCAGCCTGGGTGACAGAATGAGACTCTGTCTCAAAAAAAAAAAAAAAAAAAAGAAAAAGAAGAATAGAATGTGAGCCACAAATGTAGTTACAAATTTTCTAGCAGTCACATTAAAACAGTAAAAATGGATTAATTTTAATAATTTATATTCTATTTAACCTGTCTAAAATATTATCACTTCAATATGTAGTCAATACAAAAATAATGAGATCTTTTACAATCTGTTTTTCTTACTAAGTCTTTGAAATCTAGTGTGTATTTCACACTTACAGCACATCTTAATTCAGACGCCAAATTTTTAACAGATAAAATGCAATACAGTCCTACTAAAACAATGAAGTCGTGTAATAAAAAATATTTTACATTCAAAATACTTTCACATTACATTTACATTTAAATTACTTCAATTTTAAAATTTAGGCTGAGCAGGCCGGGCGCGGTGGCTCAAGCCTGTAATCCCAGCACTTTGGGAGGCCGAGACGGGCGGATCACGAGGTCAGGAGATCGAGACCATCCTGGCTGACAACGGTGAAAAACCCCGTCTCCTACTAAATAAATACAAAAACTACAGGGCGAGGTGGCGGGCGCACTGTAGTCCCAAGCTACTCGGAGGCTGAGCAGGAGAATGGCGGCACTTGGAGTGGCACCGGGAGGCGGAGCTTGCAGTGGAGCTTGAGATCCCGGCCACTGCACTCCAGCAGCTGGGCGGCAAGCGAGCGACTCCGTCTCAAAAAAAATAACATAAATAAAATTTAAGGCTGGAGCATGCAGCTCAAGCGCCTATGTTGCCCCAGCGCGGTCTCGAACTCCAAGGCTAACGTGATCGGCCCACCTCAGCGCTTCCCCCAAGTGACTGGGAAACGCTTTATTTATATTTATTTGTATTGTTTTTGAAGACGGAGTCCTTCGCTCTGTCGCCCCCAGTGCCTGGAGTCGTGCCGTGGATCCTCAGCTCACTGCAAAGCTCCGCCTCCGCGGGTTCACACGGCCATTCTCCTGCCTTCAGCCTCCCCGGAGTAGCTGGGACTTCAGCAGCGCCCGCCACTCGCCGCCGGCTAGTTTGTTTGTATTTTCTTTAGTAGACACGGGGTTTCACCGTGTTAGCCAGGATGGTCTCAATCTCCCGACCTCGTGATCCGCCCGTCTCGGCCTCCCAAAGTGCTGGGATTACAGGCTTGAGCCACCGCGCCCGGCCTGGGAAACCTTTTAAAACTAGAACAAACTGCCATATGCCCTTACCCAGATTCACCAGTGGTTAACACTTTGCTTCATGTGATTTACCATCCATACCCTTGCTAATATATTTATATCAGTGCATATGTTTTGGAACCATTTGAGAGTAAGTTGCAGACACGAGGCCTTTTTACTCCTACATTCTTCAGCGTGTATGTCTTAAGAACAAGGCCATTCTCTCACACAATTACAGTAGTTATCAAAATCAGAAAATTTAACAACTCAGTTCTATTTTTAACTCAATCTGTAGTCTAAATGACTCTAATCCTTGTATGTCTTTTATAGTGATTTTCTTAGATCAGGGGATTTCTTGTTTAACAGATGGGTCAAGGGATTGAGAAACATTGACCCTGTGCCTTAGCAGAGTAAAAAATAGAACAGCAGCCCAGGGCTGCTTCACGCCTATAATCCCAGCAATCTGGGAGGCCGGGGCAGGCGGCTCACTTCAAGAGTTCGAGACTAGCCTGGCCAACGTGGTTGAAACCCCATGTCTACTAAAAATACAAAAAAAATTAAAAAAACAAAAAAATAGCTGGGAATGGTGGCGGGTGCCTATAATCCCAGCTACTCACCAGGGGTGGGTGGAGGGCAGGCGCTGAGGCAGGAGGAGTGCTTGAACCTGGAAGGCGGAAGTTGCAATGAGCCAAGATTGCGCCACTGCACTCCAACCTGGGCAACAGAGTGAGGCTTTGTCTCAAAAAAGCAAACAAAAAAGCAGAGCAGCAGACGCACACAGAGGGTCAGCAGAGAACTGGGCACTGGTCCATGCTTGACACATAAGCATCCTCGGAGCCAAGGACTCGGGTGATGGTTTATCTGGGATGTGATCCCAGGAAGCGCGAGTGGGGAAGAGACAGGGCAGGCGGAAAGCCAAAAACGGTGCTCA